TGGAGTAGTTGCTGTTGCTGTTGTTGTTGTTGTTGTTGTTGCTGTTGTTGATGTTGTTGTTGTTGCTGTTGCTGTTGATGTTGCTGTTGTTGTTGTTGTTGTTGTTGATGTTGTTGATGTTGTTGATGTTGTTGATGATGATGATGATGATGGAACTTGTTTTTGACGGTGGTGATGATTGCTATCGGTGGCGATGGATGCGGTTGCTGGTGGTGGCGGCTTGATTTTGTTGCTGGTATCTTCACGACATGGCTAAGATGTCGCTGACATTGCTTCCATTGTGGCCGTCGCCGACCAACATCAGTTTTCGGGGCTAGCTGCCAGTTGTCGTTCAGGTTGTTCGCTAGGGCTGCTTCTGGCAAACCGCGGACATTCCTACGTCCCCGCAGCAGAATCCCAAACCTCGAGCCAGACACCCTGAGCCCTCAGCGGCGAGCTTTATCGGACTAAGCCCAACCCAGCAAAAAGGCACGTCCCACGTAGATGAGGATGGACGAGGAGAGCAGTGGTGATGAGAAACAAGAAGGCCGTGACGACGACGAGGAGGCGGATGGCGGAAGGACAGCGTCTATTGCTGTGCATCTTCGGGCCTTGTTGGGAACAGCACGGGCGATGCATGCGGCCTCCGCGAACTAGGATCATGGGTGTTGTTCTTCGAGAAGTTATTGGCGTGTTGGTGGATTCGGTTTTTCGGGTGTTTAGATTCGGACTGCGAGTCGTCTGCAAAATCGGGAACTGCTTTACATTGCTGGAGATTGTAGAGCTTGAGCTGATGGGGAGACTGGCGCGCAAACCTTCTCACACTCTGAGTTGCAGTTTCCAAGCCCTACGAAGCCTAAACCCTGAACCCCGAAATCTTATATTTTCGAATGTGCCCGGCTGGATCTGCTTGCTATCGGGCTTGAAGTGGGCACCGGCTCAACACGTGAGGCCCCAAAGCGTTGTCGCTGCCTTATACCGTAAGTCTGACATCAGAAAACTCTGGCACCTGCCTTGCCTAAATGGTGCTGTGGGCTGTGGGTGTAGGGTTGTAGCATTGGGCTTGCCTTAAATTGCGAACCGCAATATAACATAGGGGCGGGCCTATATAATCACCTATACTATTTTGGGTGTTCCTTAAAGTGTTAAGGCCCCTATATTCAGCCCGATGTTTAGGCATCAGGGTTGACGGAGTTTCGGGTTCAGAGCTCTAGATTCGTCCTCGGAAAAAGCCCGAGCCGGTGCAGGGCTTAGGGTTTAGGGTCTAAGTCTAAGTACCTAGAACCCTTCAAACCCCAATAAGCCCAACAGGCCCCAACAGGCCCTACGGTGCATCTTTGGAGCTCGACCGGAGGAGTCAGCAATCCTTCGTTCGGAGACTCTGGCTGAGGTCCTACACACGCTGAGAACTTGGCGCTCCAGCCTCAACCCAAGGCCTCCCCAAACAGCCCCAAAAGCTAAGCCCCCGACAGCCGGAACCTTGAGCGAGCCCGGTGAGCAACAAGCACCGTCTTTGAACCCGCTCGAATCCGAAAAAAACGCTTCAACTCCTAAAACTGAGTCCTTCGCCCTAAACCGCTTGAGCGTACATCAGGAGCTTTTGTATCATGGGTTTTCCTACATACCCGAAGCCCTATATCCCTAAACCAAACAATGTTTCAAGAACGGCAGGACCGACACTTCCCCGAATCGAGGAGAAGAGGCACCTGGATCGCCGCTAGTATAGGGGCCTAAATCATTGCCTGTCCTAGTTTTTGGGGGGTTCCTTATTATGATTATAGTATAGTATACCCCGAAACTTGAAACCCTATTTGTTTTTATTCTTATGGCCCCTACATTAGATTGGGGGCTGAAGAGTAGAGTCCGGGGTCGAAGGGCCAAGGCTTTAAGGGCTTCAGAGATTTAGGCTTCTGGGTTAGAGGGTTCAGGGTTAGGCCTTAGGTTTAAGCTCTCCTGCAAGGAGCTATCTGGGTTCATCTCAAGTAGGGGTTCTTTTAATGTCTTGTGGAGTTCGGTGGTGTTTTGAGATGGGTTACAAGGTTCTACGTAGGCTCCTAGGGGTTATAAGGTTCAAGGCAGGCTCCAAGCAGTCGTGTAGGTTGTTGGTACCTCAAGACGACACAGAAGGTGTACATGTCCTTAAACCCAAAACCCTATAGACCCTAAACCCTAAACCTTCTATCTCACTCCTGCATGTGCTCGAAACCCCCGAACCTGCTAAGCCCGCAGGAGAAAGAGTCTTTTGTTTTACTTTAAGACTTGAAAACCTGGTTTTAGCATTTAGGATACGGGATAAGCGTCAGCATTTCAGGAACATCACAGTGTTGATGTTGGGATTTAGAATTCAGGCGTAGCTAACCCTAGACAACCCGAAACCTCACATCGGGCAGGAATGCCTCCTCGCACAAGACCGAGAAGAAGTAGACGACCCACTGGGAGGTCCCTCGTAAAGTTGGAAGGCTTCTGCCCCATTTGGGGGGGTTTCAGAGACGGCTTGAGTAGCTTCGTTGGGTTGAAGGCGTAGACGAAAAGCAGAAGCTCTGAATCAGAAGCTGTTTTCTGTGAGTTCACAGAGCTCACGCGCAGTTTCGGGTCGGAAGCATCGGGCCAAGAATTCAACACCCTGCACTCACAACCCCAATGCCCTACACCCTAAACTCACTACCGGCAAGCCCAAACCCCAAGCTCTGAAACTGAACCCTAAATGCCCCAAATCGGGTAAGCCCTCAGCCCAATATCGAAGCCTAACGAAAATTAAAAGAACCCTTCCAGGGACCCTCAAAGGAACCCTTGAAAGAACCCTCCAAGAAACCACGAGAGTAACCGTAAGGGAAGCCTCCAACATGTCTTGAATCGCAATAGATGCATACGAACACAGAAACAGCCCACTTCGCGCCAAAAGGGCAGACCCAAAGCACAACCATGATGCCCCGTAGTAGTTTCAGAGTTGGCTTCGGACTTTTAGACTCATCGCTTATGGGTTTAGGCTATCCTAACATCGGATCTTGAAGGTTTTTGGGGTTTAGGAAGGTAGCATGAGATGCGACCAGAATAACTTGAGCAAGGTTGTGCGCATGCGATATATTGGAGTAGAGGTACCAGTACATTGTGACATAGCTGCTGAATCCCACCAAATAGGTCCAGCTTTCTAAACCCGAAGCCGCGCGCTGAACAGGGGGTTTTCGCAGGGTATGCCGTGCTGGGAATCAACCTAAGGCCTAGCACCGAATCCCAAACACCCATAGCCCCTACATGCATCAGTAGCAGTCACCGACCTATCGCGAGCCAGAGATCTCGTCTGGCGTAAATGGAGATTTCAGACAACTAGTCTCCCGTTTCGGGGCCTGTAGAGAAGAGCCTATCATGGCCTCTTGGTGTCTTAGACTCCCGCCAACTCTGAATCCGAAAGAAGTCCTGGGTTTGGGATCTTGTATCCTGAACCCCCAAGCCAAACATCCTCAATCCGGAAGCAGCTCGGGGGTTTAGGGTTTAGGGTTTAGGTTTAAGCACCCCTCCTTCCGTGCTAGGCGGCTTTGTCCCCGCCGCCCGTGCAAAGAGCGGTTCCGGTGCACTTGCCGAGGCCTTCCCTTACATGCATTTAGGAGTCTTGAAAGAGTGTGGCAGCAACACCCCCTGTAGCAAGACACTACGAGGCGTCTGGGTCTGCTCTCTAGTCCCTCGCGCGAACTGCTGCTATCAACGCTCATTTTGCTGACATATCGGCATTACGGTATCAGGGCTTGGCCTCCGATCCTGCCATAGAGCGGTGTACATGCTCAGAAAAGGCAATATTTGAATGAGATTGTTGGAGGTCTGAGTAAGTGTAGGTATTATAGGGGTCAGTATCAATTCACAGCCAGGTAGAGTCCACTATAGTACACCTTGTGATCATTGTTCTGAGATTAAGGCACTTACGTTATTTGGATATGCTGGGGTTGGGCCGGGACCTAAACCCTCAACGTTAAACCATGGGGGTTTGGCGCTGCTTGAGGTAAGCCTTGGTGCTTGAAGCATTTGATGTAGGGGCCTGAATAATTACCGATATTTTTTAAGGGCTCCTTATTATAATTATCGTATAATATACCCCCAAAACCCTATTCTAATTATCAAGGCCCCGTCAGTAGGTCTACTTTTATCCTTCCACAAAACCTGGGGTGTTTTCCTGGCTCGGGCCGTGGAGGGTCGGGCTTCTCAGGGTCTGTGGCCTGAGCCCGAAATGTAATGATTATGACTATAACTATTAGTACATTACAATAACTATGGTTATAACTATAGTTGTTAATTAGTATTATCTTGTATTATGATTATACTTATTTATGTCTTCGTCCTATTATTGTTATCATCATGTTATAGATTGGCATCCGCAAGTTTAGCGATGTTTAGGGATTGCAGACTGGGTTCCGGTAGGTCGGTGTGGGGCGCAAGGGCGCTAACTCCGAAATCCCTAACCGTCAACTCCTGGACCCAGACACGAGGATTCGTCTTAGTATTTGGAGGTAGAACCCCCTTAAAAGCCTAAGCCCGAAAATCTGAATCCTGACATAATATAGGGGCCTAGATAATTACCTATACTACTTTGGGGGCTCCTTATTGTAATTATAATGGCACCCAAAACCCTGTTCTAATTATGAAGGCCCCTACATGAATCCGCGAACTCTTGAGCCCTCGGCTCTAGAGTCTAAAGCCCTAATCCGGCCCTCCGGCACAGAACTTCCGTCGCGATCCCAGGCCGAGCAAGCTGGAGCTGGAGCTGCTTTGGAGGACGAAGAGGAGGAGGGCGAGGAGGCGTCGCAGGCCCTGCGTTGCTTTTTCAGCAACGAGTAGGGTTTAGGGCTGAGGGTTTAGGGTTTATAGCCCTGGAGCCCTGCATAGGTCTCAATGCTCATAGGACTTTAGACAGAAGCTGTAGGGGCAAACAGAAAGAGCCGCATGCCTAGTGCAACACACGGCTAGTAGATGCTTGCAGCCGTTGTAAGAGCAATACCCTTGGTAGAAGATAGCACGAGCAGGAGTTGTTGAAGTAGAAGCAGCGACAGCAGGAGCAGACGAGGAGGACTCAGAGTAATTATAGCGGGGCCATCGTCGTTGTCGGCACTGGCCCCAAGCCCCAAACGCATACCCTACACCCGAAACCCTAAACCCAAAGAACCTCTGAACCCTAAGCCCATTACATGTTAACAGCTGAACCCCGAAACCTCTGAACGGAGCCTTGCCAGCTGCCTGCAAGAAAACCTCTAAACCCCTCAACCCCCAA